GATAATTTGAAGTTAATAGGAAGAGGGGTAGAAATTGGCTTACAATCTTGTATGCTGAATCGTGACAAGATTTTCTACAAGTAATTCTTTTGTAAAAGCCAAATCTTCCTATTACTTCTGTCTCGGTGAATTTGCATCCCTAGAATCTTGTTTGCTGATCCCAAGTCCTTCATTTCAAATTCCCTAACTAGTCGTGCCTTCAATTCTTCAATATGATCTTTGTTAGGTCCTGCAACCAACATGTCATCCACATACAACAACAAAATAACAAAATCGTTATCACCAGACCTCTTGAAATAAGCACAAGGGTCTGCATTAAGTCTGTTGTATCCAAGGCACATAATGAAAGAATCGAATCTCTTATATCAACACCTTGGCGCCTGCTTTATACCGTACAGAGATTTGTTCAACCTGCAAACCAAGCTCTTCTTTTTTTTTCTTCAAAACCTTCAGGTTGGAGCATATAAATTTATTCTTCAAGATTTCCATGAAGAAAAGCTGTTTTAACATCTAGCTGCTCTAGATGTAAGTCCAATGTAGCACACATTGCCAAAACTACTCGAACTGTTGTTAGTCAAACCACAAGAGAAAATATTTCATTGAAATCAATACCTTCTTTTTGAGCATATCCTTTGACCACCAGTCTTGCACGATACCTCTCAACTTGACCGTCACCATTTCGCTTGATTTTGAAGACCCATTTGTTACCAATTGACTTCCTTCCTTGTGGTAGTGGCACAAGGTCCCATGTATTATTTTTATGAAGGGCTTCAATTTCTTCTTGCATCGCCATCATCCACAGTGAAGCATCTGAGCTGTTTATTGCCTCCTGGTATGTTGATGGCTCACCGTCCTCTGTTAAAAGACAGTATGCAATATTACCTTCTATTACATAATCTGAGTGCCAATTGGGATGCCTTCTCACACGATCTGATTGACGAGTTGTTGGAGCTTCAGAACTTTCTGGTTCTTGTTCATCATGAGTTGTTTCTGTTTTAGAAGAATCTTCTTGTTCAACCTCATTTTCCACACGTATCCGAGTAGTCTCTGACTTTTTAGCACTATCATCGTCTTCTTTTCTTTGTAGTTTATCTTCTACAAATATAACATCCCTGCTGAAGATCACTTTACGGTAAGTGGGATCCCACACGCGATACCCCTTTACTCCATCAGCATACCCCAAGAATTTGCATTTCCTGGATTTTGGATCCAGCTTTGAGATTTCTTGGGAGTTGTACATCACGTACACAATACTTCCAAATACATGGAGGTTTGAATAATCAGCTGGTTTACCAGTCCACATCTCCATTGGTGTTTTTAGCTCTATTGCAGTTGATGGAGCTCGATTCACCAAATAACAAGCGGTATTGACTGCTTCTGCCCAGAATGATTTTTCTAGGTCTGCATCCCTCAACATTGCTCTTGTTCTATCTAACAAGGTTCTGTTCATCCGCTCTGCCACTCCATTTTGTTGAGGAGTGTTTGCCACTGTGAACTGTCTTTTGATGCTTTCTTTCATGCAAAAGTCATTAAATTCTTCGTTTGTGTATTCTCCTCCATTATCTGTTCTGAAACACTTGATCTTATTTCCAGAATCAAGTTCCACCCGCGCTTTGAAGTTTTTGAAAGTTGAAAACACATATGACTTCTTCTTAATAGGGTACACCCAACATCTCCTGGAGTAGTCATCAATAAATAAGACAAAATATTTTGCTTCGCCTAGGGTTGTAACTAGTGCTTGCCATACGTCAGAATGAACCAATTCTAGAACATTTTTGCCTCTAGAATTTGACGTGTTGAATTTCAACCGGTGCTGCTTACTTGTTATGCAATGCTCACACAAAGTAAGTGATACCTTTGTTAAGCCTGGAAGTAGCTTTTGCTCCACAAGGACTTTCATTCCTTGTTCTAACATGTGTCCAAGTTTCTGATGCCATAGCATTGCAGAATCTGAACTACATGAGGTAACAGAGGCTTATGCTTCTAACAAAGTCTCTCCCTTTAACATGTACAAGTTTGTTGCTATCTTTTCGCCTTTCAGTACCACAAGCGCTTCACGAAACACCTTAATGATTCCTTTCCGTGTTTCAATCTTGCTTGCATTATTATCCAACAATCCGTAGGATAATAAATTTTTCTTCAGGCCTTTCATGTGCCGCACATCTCGAACAACTTTAATTGTTCCATCATACATCTTCAATTTGATGGTTCCCACGCCAACGATCTCTAAGGCATGATCATTGCAACTATACACAGATCCTCCTGAGACAGGTTCATAATGATGGAATCATTCTCTTCTTGAGGTCATGTGATATGTTGCTCCCAAATCAATGAGTCATATATCTGCAAATCTTTTTCTGCCTTCCACGGTAGTTGACGCTTCACAGCATAGAGCATCTCCATCATCTGAAGTGTTTGCGGTATTACCTTGTGGATTGGAGTTTTTATTCAGACTCCAACAATCCTTCTTCAAGTGACCCTTCTTTCCACAGTTGTAGCACTTTAAATTCTTCTTGCTTCTTGACTTTGATATACCATGTTTGTGACTGCTGCTTTGGCCACGTTCTGTTGATCTCCCTCTCATCGTTGTTAACGCTTCTGCTTGTTGCATATTTACTTGTCTATCTTCCTTGTTCTTGCGCCGATTTTCTTCTTGTAGAACAACAGCTGCAACGTCATCGAAGACCAGACTGGTGACATTATTGTTTGTCAAGTTGATGATGAGTTGATCATACGAATCCGGTAGACTTTGAAGTAGAAGTTCAACACGTTCCTGTTCTCCTATTGTACATCTTAAGGATGTAAGCTGAGAAAATAATGTGTTCAGTGTGTTTAGTGCTCCGTCACTGAAGTAGATTCTGACATCCGGAGAGTATACACTTTCCTCTTAAGGAAAACTTTATTGTGCAACGATGTGGCATCGTACAATTTGGTGAGATGATCCCATATCTCCTTCTCCTCGATGCTTGACAATACTTCATCTGCTAATGCTAGATGAAAGTTTGCAATAACATTCTCGTCCATCTTGTTCCATTTGTTGTCATCTATGAAATCCACCGGCCTTTCACTGATAGCTGCTAGACAACCGTCTTTCCTCAGGATGGCCTTCATCTTTAATTTCCACAATGAGAAATTTCTCTCATTGAACTTTTCAATATCAAATTTCGTTGCCATTGCTTCGTTTACGGATAGCTCTCACTATTTCACTATCGTGAATAATTCTCTGGAACCTTCAAAGAATGGATAATAACTTCTTACTTTCGTATATTGGAGGATCCACCTTTTGGTGGCAACCACAAAGACAATAAGTAGATATTACACACTCTAATCTAGCTCTGATACCAATTGTTGCGGAAGACGGCTATCGGATAGAGTAAAACCGTAACTAATAATTTGAGAAAATAAAAATGAAGATAAAAGAGACAAAATTTACGTGGAAAACCCCTAAATAATATAGGGTAAAAACCACGGGCAACGGTAGAAGAATTTCACTATGAGAAAAATAGGAATTACAACCTCTCTCGATCTACCAAGGAGAAAACAATGATAATTCTCTCTTGATAAAAAGGAGAAAACAACTCTCAAGAAACTCTCTAAATTCTCTCTAGTATTGGAAGAAAGCTAGAATGCTTTGGGATGATTTTGAAACTAAATGAGCTATGGTATTTATAGTTGAAGCTTAAAGACTAGTTTGTAAATACCCTAAATTACAATGACTAAAATTGAAATTTTACAATTTTAAAAGTCATCAAAATCATGCTGCCAATTGCTCCAATTGCTCTAATTTTCCAACCAAATTTAGGTGGAATTATTTTATTTGTTTTTTTTCAAATTTTCCACTGAAAGTTTGGTAGCAGCAGCTAATTTGGACTTTCCAAATTTGTATTTCAACACCCCCAATTACTTTTTACAACTACTATTTCGGCCAGACTTCATGTAGGAGATTTTGAATTGATGACTTTTGTGCAGGTGGATATGCTGCTGCTGGATACTACAATTACAAGGTTTACTTTTATCTTTTTTAGTCTCTTTCTTATAAAGCTACACTAGAAACATGTGTTTTGAATGTTTGTGGTTGGAACTATCTACTACGGTCTGATCACCAACAATCAGACAAAGACTATATATAACTTATAAACCCTTATCCCTCTTCTCTTTTCCTATCTTTAGCCTGCTCTTTCATTCTCGCATGTATCCAGTATTTGCCTGCTAAAGTCCTGTAATCTTTTTATGAACTGTGGGAATATTTCAATCCTTGTTTTACATTTTCTTTCTTTAAATCTCTCCTTGTTATGTGATTTGAAATTCAAAATGCTATTTTGCAGTGGGCAGAAGTGTATGCTTTCTCAGCTTTCGAGGATGCTGGATTAGAAGACAGCAAGGTATGGCGGTTGAAAAGGCTGCCGAGGATTTTTTTTTGCAATCTTTTGTTCTCTTTTGTATAATTTTCCTCTATAAATGAGCTAACATGTTATGGACAGAGATCCTTGTCTGCAGTGCCGATATATGATGCTGTTATTGTTAGTATTTTCTTTCATTAGAAAAAGGGCATGATTCATTGATTGTATTACGACAGACTGTTAAAGAAGCAGGCCACAAGTTTATACAAATTGTATATCATTCCTAATTCCAAAATTTTTTAATTTGAACTTTCTATTTCTTTCCCTTTCTCAGCAACTTTCTGATAAGAGAAAACTTGATGTTTGGAAGTGGTTAACTTGTAACAGACCCTAGAGTTCTTCCTTTGATTCCTCTTGACATGAGATTTTGTTACATTATCCAGGTCTTTGTTGAGTTCCGTGGACGTGAACCCTCACCCGAGCCATTGCTCAGGCACAATGGGTTACTATCAGCCACAGCCTGAAGATAAGCAGTTTAATCAAACAGACATGGAAAGCTTTCGGGGATGCCGTGTTATCAACTCAGCCCTTCAAAACTCATAAAGTTGGATACTCAAATCTTTTGCTTCGATAAAAGAAAATTCATGTACTATTTATCAATTAAGTGAAATGTTTTGGTGTAGCTTTTATTATGATATATATAATGGAGATTTGAGACATATATAGCTGAAATCATCAAAACTCCTTGAATTATGGTGTTTGCATCTTTGGCCTAACTATATTGCCGCAACACAACATTAAAGTTCTGCAAACCTATAAATAAGATGGAATAAATCAACGTGTTTGGTTTTTCATTGAAGAAGCAGGGAATAGTTTTTCCTGCTAATCAATGAACATCTCTTCCACCTAACTACTATCGTGGCTCAGGATGAGCCAATGGTTGTGGATTAACAGGCGAAGGTTCCGAAGCAGTTGATGGAGGCGGTAGTACTATCTTTTTCTCCATAACAATCGAGAAGCGATTGGACCCTCCCAAGCTATATATGCTGTCGATGGACTTCATGTATTCGGATGCATTGTTCTCTATGATCAAAGCATCCTCCAGTTCTCGAACAATGTCATCCATGCCAGGTCGATAAGCGGAAAAGGGCTCAATACATGCCAACGCTGCCTCGACTACTCTCCACATTGCCTCAGCATGGTACCCTCCCTTTATGTTAGGGTCAACTATTTCATCGATCTTTGACTCCCTTATGAAAGGTTTTGCCTGCTTGGAAATGTATTTTAGTTTGTTAATAATTGGAGTTGGGTTAATTAAACAATCTAGAAATGAGAAAGCATGAGATCAGATTATACCCATTCGATCAAACTCCATTCGTTTCGAGGTCTTTGTATGTTTAGAGGCTCCCTTCCACTTATAATTTCAAGTAAAACCACACCAAAGCTGAATACATCACTTTTTGCAGATAGTTGCTGGGTCGAGTAATACCTGAATAACAAGGCAAGCTATGGTTAGATTGACCGTAGTTTGTATCTATATTTCTTCGACTGTTCATTTTTCTTAAATACAAGAGTCCAACGCATTCAGGCATGAATATCAGAATACGACCCTTAAACATTAGTTAGCTATAAAATTTTGATTCTTACTCGGGATCCATGTATCCTGCAGTGCCTCTCACTTCAAGGGAAGCATTACTGTCACCTTCTTGAGGAGCATATTTTGAAAAACCAAAGTCTGCTACTTTAGCACACATGCTATTGTCCAAAAGTATGTTGCTTGATTTTACATCTCTATGTATAACACTCCGGCCGCCATAGGTATGAAGATACATCAAACCTGATTATTGAAAACAACACTCGATCGGATCAATTTCTTATTTTTTGTAGAGAAATATCATATAGAACATCAATAGATGAGTAAGTTGAATGTTGTGTTTGTTACCTCGAGCAGCACCAAGAGCAATGGAAAGCCTGGTTGGCCAGTCCAAAATTTTCCGTTTCGCTGCCTCCCCTGTTAAAAACAATTGATCAGAAAGTTATGAACAACATCAGAGAAAAAAAATACAGGGAATTGCGGTGAAAAAAGTACCATAGAGACGATCTTGCAAAGAGCCATTGGACATGAAAGGATAAACAAGGATTTGTTGATCGTTTTCCCAGCAGTAACCAAGAAGAGGAACCAGGTTCTCATGCCGAATAGCCGAAAGAAGGTTTAGCTATTCATATAAAATAGTTAGCAATTCAGATATATTTCAACATGCATCAAAGGCGTAGGTTGATGATTCTAAGGTGATAATGTATGCATATTAGAGCGTTTACCTCGTTCTCGAATTCTCGAGTTCCTTGACTTGAGGTGGCTGATCGTACCTTCACAGCAACTTCCTGGCCGTCAGGTAGAGTACCTCGATACACCGATCCGAAGCCGCCTTCTCCGATCAATGTTTTGTAGTTTTGGGTAGCAATCTCAATGTACTCTAAGGTATATGTCTGTATAGATATTGGCCTAACAAAAACTTCATCTGTGCTAGGAATGGAGAACACCAAATCTGCAGTTTGAGAGTTGCATACATCAATTCAGATATGCAATTCAATTATGGGCTAAACTAACCATTAGTCACCAAACTATTGGGGTGCTCTGTTTTATTCACCAAACTAAAAATCTTGTAAATTTAGCTACAGAGGTTACCCTTTAGTTTCAATTTAGCCAACCGATGTTGGAGGAACTAACTTGTCAGTTTTTTAATTGGTATAACTACATATTTAGTCATTCACTTACAAATTCTACCAATTAGGTCTTAATTCTAAATAACTCAAATGATTTAGCCCTCACATTTTTAAGTTTTATAAATTTGACCCTTTACATTTACACATTTAATCCTTAATACTTCTGAATTCTATCAATTGTCCCAGTTCTAAATAATCCATCAAATTTAGCCCTCACATGTTTAAATTGTATCAATTTGATTCTAATTCTGAATAATTCAACAAATTTATCGTTCACATTTACAAATTCTATCAATTCGTCCATTCAAAATAAATTTTGAATTAGGACAAAATTGATAGAATTTGTAAGGATTGAAGATTAAATGTGTAAATGTGGAGGGTCAAATTGATAGAATTCACAAATGTGGGAGCTTAACTTTGTTGAATTATTTAGAATTAGGACAAAATTGATAGCATTATTAAATGCGATGGTTAAAATTTTCAAATTATTTAGGATTGGGATTAAATTGATAGAATTTGTAAATGTGAGGTTAAATTATTTGAATTATTTAAAATTAAAACTAAATTGATAGAATTTGTAAGTACCAAGGACCAAATACAAGTTATGCTAATAAAAAAAAACACAAATACCAGCTCTTCCGTTATTAGTTTAACCGTCAATGACCAAATTGAAACTAAAATGAAATGTTAATGATTAAAATTGGAGATTATAGTTTGGTGACCAAAACAGAGCACCCTCAATAATTTGCTGACTAATGGGAAAGTATACCCTATATCATGACAGCTACCAGGAAATGAAGGAAAGAGTGACTCACTCTTTGCCAAGGAGAGTCCTGTACCATTGTATTTTCTCTTAGCCATTAGTTTTTGTCTGTAAAGGCAAACAACAATGGCTCCGAGAGCCACAGTAATTACAGCAGATCCACATGCAGCTGCACCGATCACAATTCCTCTTATTGGACCCCTTGACTTTCTGGAACATGCTCCTGAGCTGAGACACGCATGCAAAAACATCACTTCATTTTCTTTTAAATGCTTTAAAGTTTGAAAAATACAATATTTCCTTACTCAGTGGTTAACTTTGAGCTGTTCAAGGTAGATGGAAGCTCACTGTCAAGTTGAGGATTGCACCCATAGTATCTGACGAAGAAATCGCATCAGTATCTGTATAATCAGAATTTCAAACAGAAAATAGCTAATTTTGCTGCAGAATATACTCTCTTTTTTCATAAGAGAACAACTTACAATGCACGCAAGTGTGGAAGTGAGATAAGAGACTGTGGTAGAGATCCTTCAAGTTCATTGTTGCTTATATCCCTGAAAATATCACATTTTATCAACAGCTGTTTTAGAGTTAGAATGAAGTAATGGAAAATGGCAAAAATTTGGGTTTGGAGAGAAAATTACACAGATGTCAGATTTGATGATGATGGGAATGATGGAATCTCCCCGCTGAAGTCATTGTTGCTCAGATTCCTAATTAAGTGAGAATAAAATTAGAGAATAAACAACACCTGAAAACCAAAGGCAAAGAGCTTCTAAGGAGATCATACAATGTTTTCAGGTAGGTTAGCTTTGTGATACTTGGAGGCATTGCCCCTTTAAATTTATTTGAAGAAAGATCCCTGTAATTATATAATAAGAAAGCTAGCAAGAGTCAACAGAATATGTCGGACATGAACACTTGAAGAAAAAAAAATCGGAGCGATATAAAAAAGAACTTACAGATCCGTGATGACTGTGGAACCATTGGAGTTGCAGGCCAAACCGTGCCAGGGATCGGGAAGACATGGATCTCCTGACCAAGTTTCCAGTAAGCTATTCCCTTGGTTAAGAATTAACAAATCCTCTTTTACCTTCTTTATCTCAATCACTGAACAGGAGTAGGAATGTCAGGATCTTGAATTATTAGATAAAATTTACAATTTGCTCAACTTACCATCATCGACGTCTGTCTCTACATCCCTTGGGAGCACCTGCAAGATCTCAAAGGCATTGCAAATGGGTCCAAGTTGAGATTCATTTGATCCCTTAACCAAGGTCAAATTCAGAGACCCTTTGGCTGTCACGTTGTAAATAACCTCTCTATAGTTGGATCCCATTGCCGATATATCGAAATTCTCCTCTTTCTTCTCATCGTTGATGTAAATATCGAACACCCTTTGACCAATTCCAACAGTGTCGTTCAGCTCAAGAAAGAAGAGGATCACAGTGTAGTTATAGTCCCCATTATCAAGGCCATTTTGAAGGAACTCCAATCGTGTTGAATCCATGACAGCGGTTCGAAGAACATCGAGTGGCACCGTTGTATTCGCATTGTTGTGAATGGTTACAGTCGAGTTGGCTTGAAGGTAAAGGCCCCATGCTGGTTTCCAGATTCTGTCATATCTGTCGTCTGGGTACCTGAAGTGTGCAAATAAGCATCGATTTGAAATATAATTGGTACTTGTTCATCATGTTAGCCAGGTGAAAATTATGGTTTTTAGGATACATAGATTATATACCTGGTCTCTCCAATGCCCCCTAGATCGGTTCTATTAACCAGTTTCAGAATTTTGGATGATTTATCCTTTAGATACTTTGTATCATTCAAAGGCCTTAGTTCAAGACTCGATATGTAGGGATCCCCTTTTCCATGCAGTAAGCAGAAGTCGGTATAGATATTCGGCGCTCGGAAAATCCCCTCGGCCACCGAGGCCTCCGATGACAAGGAGTCCACAACGCCTAATGGCGTGGTTCCGATTGAAACCGTAAACGAGGAATTAAACTCAGCTCCAACAGGGAACGAACCCCTTACCAAATAGTCTTGATCTTTAACTGTAGTTAAGCTATAACATCTCTTCCCCGATTCGATCTCGAAAGCCCGAGCTCTTTCGTTGCCCTGATGCAAGTTCCTGCAACTTTTTCTGTCTGTAAACCATTGATCATCAGGTATCCAAGATAGACTTTTATCTGTAAAACTCGATTCAGCACAGCACGCTATGTTCAAAAACTCTGCATGAAAAAATCTATAGTTTAGAACATCAGCTTTTACTGATCCAATGAAGATTCACCAATTATCAACAAAGATCTGAATTTACTGATCCAACATAAATTCTGACAGACATTCCAGAGACAAAATCAACAACGTTGACTGTTTCTTGTAAGATAAACAAAACTTATATAAATTTTTCGTTTGATCTACAACGAAGAATAATAATAATATAAACGAATACTAACCTTGTGCATTAGTTGATTGAAAAAGATTGAAGAAACAAAAGATTAAAAACATAAAACTTGTTAAAACCCAGCAAATCAACCCTTCCATCATCATCTCATCTTAAATGGAAGACGCCCCATGTCGGGTAATCAAAATCATAATATCAAGCCAACCAACTAAATTCTGAAACTTGCACCAAATGACCGGCTAACCCTTGTGAAAACCAAGAACTCAACCATTCGCAAGACGATCAAAGTCATCGAATTAAGCCGATAATTTTTCAAACATGTTTGGATCAAAATGACAAGTTCATGCTGGAGATGATTAAGTTTTCCGGTGATTATTCTCAGACAAATGGAACAAGGATAGGAGGAGGAAATGATAGAGGTTTGACTTCAGAATAAAGAAAAACTGGAGGAGTTCAATTATTTTCGTAAGAAGTTAAGAAGAGAAATAGATTATAATACAAAAGTTTGATTATGGGATTTATGTTAAAATAATGGGATTAATCAAGTAGTAGTATTAATTAATTTTAGTTTGTTTTGGTGGTGGATGGAGATCAATGTATTAAAATTTGGATTTAAAATAAGGGAACCGCTCAGCTTCGTCTGCCTCCGTCTCTCTTCTTGTCTGTTACCATGGACGCAACATCATCGAAAAATGGCCATTGGGCCACTATTTATAATAATAACAAAATAATAAAAGTATAGAGTTAATCCCTTTCCAATTAATACATTTTTCGGATGTTTAAACTTAATTACATTGAAATTAAAATTATAAAAATAAAACAAATTTGAGATTGAAAAATAAAAAATAAAAAATAAAATGAATAACTGTTGACAACATTGTTCAATTCTAGTTGGTTTAGATAAAATAAAATCATAAATTTTGCAATTAATTAGATGAAAATTTATATTTTTTCATACATAATTAATAAGGTGATATTAATCGAATTGAAACTTAATCTTTAACATATTTACTTTTTATATGTCTATGTAATTTTAAAATTATGAATTCATATTTGTGTAAATATTGAATCATGACGCAATTATTATAGGTATAAAATTAAAATTATTTTCATTTTGCGATTTGTAATGTTAAAGATTATCTTCGCTTCATTATCCATGTGGATCATTAGGCTACCTAATTTCGTGATTCACTTCCTATAATATATTTATAAATATCAGTATAAAATATTTATCATTCGAATTATTGTCATATGTGTGATATATTCTAACTATGAGGGGTGAGCATTCGATCGAGTCGAGTCAAAAAATTTCGAGTTATTCGAATTGACGAGTTGTATTTTACAACTCGAACTTAACTTGAAATTTTTTCGAGTTTAGTAGAGTTTAAGAAATTCGAGTCGAGTTATTCAAGTTTCTATACTAATTTTACCATATAAGATATATATATATTTTATATTCTTTTCACATTAAAATGTTATTTAATATATCAAATACAATCTAAAATTATGAAATATATTCATAATATTATATCTTCAATAAAGTATTTTGAGGGTAAAATATTGATAAGAGTATAAAGGAGTCAATGAATTGATGAGAAGAAAGAATTTGCAAACAATTGTAGTCAAACGATCAAATTGAGTAAAATGCAAAGTTAAGAGACTAATTAAAAAGAGAGAGATTACATTTTTAGTAAAAAAAAAAGTAAGAAATGAAGTTACATAGGTATTATATTATGGTATATGAGCATGCGGTTCAAATTTAGTAAAAACGAACTTAAAATAAGGATGAATTGAAGAAATAAGAAAATTATGAAAAATTGAGAGAAATTGAAAAATAGAAATTTTGTTATCAAAAAGAGGAATTGAAAGTACATATGTATTCTAAGGTTTAGGAGCATGTGATTCAAATTTGGTAATAACGAACTTAAAATAAAGGATGAATTGGAAAAATAAAGAAATTATAAAAAATTTGAGGGACTAAATTGAAAATAAAATAAAATAATTATCAAAAAGAGGAATTGAAAGTACATACGTATTCTAAGGTTTAGGAGCATGTGATTCAAATTTGGTAATAACGAACTTAAAATAAAGGATAAATTAGAAAAATAAAGAAATTATAAAAAATTTGAGGGACTAAATTGAAAATAAAATAAAATTATTATCAAAAAGAGTAATTGAAAGTACATATGTATTCTACGATGGTTTGGGAGTATGTAATTCAAATTTGATAAAAATTGTATTTTAAATAAAGGATGAATTGAAGAAATAAGGAAATTATAAAAAAATTAGGGACTCAATTGAAAAATATAAAACTTGTTACCAAAAAGAGGAATTGAAAGTACATATGTATTATAAGATGGTTTAGGAGTATATGGTTCAAATTTGGTAAAAACATACTTAAAATAGAGGATGAATTGAATGAATAATGAAACTAGGGGGCTAAATCATAAAATTGTCAAAATACCTAGTCAATTTTTTTTATTTTTTTTTGAGTATTTCGAAATTTCAAAATTTCAAAATTTCAACCCCACTCGAATTCGAAAATCTAAATTGAAAATTCAAGTTGACACAAATAAATCAAAATTGAAAAAATTAATTTTTGAATCGAGTCAAATTTTACTCACATCTACTAACTATTACCAATTTTTAAAAATTAATAAGTCATTACGACTATTTTTTTCAATAAAATTTGTTTTATTTAAAAATTTAAAGAAACAAACTCAAAACATAAGTTATGTGTCTTATTAAAAAAATCTCTCTACATCTAATTAGATAAAAAGTGTACAACATAAAAATTACATCTCGACAATTAATTTAACGGACTATCACCTATAAAAGGGACTAGTTGCTACATCTCGACAATTGATATAACGGACTATCGCCTACGCATATTGCAATTACAAACCCGGGTTTTGCTTACAAATCCCTTACCACCATGCTTTAAAAGCTCACTCGTATTATTTACTGAGCCCCAAAGAGAAAGAAAATAGAACTCTTTGAACTCTTTGTGTCTCCGATGGCTGTGAGAGTTTCTGCAAGTGGTGGGCCGACTTTAGGTAACTCTTTGAACTGGAAATCGTTGTTTACTGAGCATGGGTTCAATTTCTTGATTTCTTTCCTCCGATTAAGAATGAGGGCGGTGATTGTTCGGCCTCCTAAGGAGGTTAGGGATGAGGGTTCAACTAGATGGGATAACGCTTTAGTTGGTCAATTTGTTCACGGGTTTCCAAATTTTCGAGTGTTTGTGAAGGTTGCGAATCAATTATGGGGTAAGTTGGGAAATGTTAAGGTTAAGTATTTGGGTCCTGATTTGTATTTGCTTATTTTCCCTTCGCAAGAAACGAGAGATTGGGTTTTGATAGCAGGTCCTTGGCATATCCAACATAAGGATTTGTTGCTGAGGAAATGGGTCCCAGGAGTTAAGCAGTTGAAGTTTGACCTTATTACTGCTTCTGTCTGTGTGCAAATTCCTCTTGAGCTCTTTTCTCAGAAGGGGTTAGGCTATCTTGCGAGTGTTGTAGGTAAACAATTGTATACTAACAGAGGTACCGCGGTTTGCTCGCAATTGGATTATGCAAAGGTGTATGTGGAAGTTGGTGTGGATGATGCTCTTCCTTCTTCCATTAAGGTTGAGTTTGGGGATGGGCAGCTTGCTGAAGTTAGTGTGGAGGTTGCTTGGATGCCACCGAAGTGTCTAGGATGTTTGCAGTTTGGCCATGGTGATAGGCGGTGTCCCAAGAAGCAGAGGGTTACCCAGGAGGCCCAGACTAATATTGTAAGTGGGGTTCAATAAGAGCATGATCATGGGGATGGTTCTCAGGATAATGTTGTAAATGGGGTTCAATCAGAGCAGGTTCATGAAGATGGTACAGTGTATCGTGTTTTGAATAATAGTGTGGTCTTGGGTGTTGGTGTTGATGTGGGGCAAGAGCAGCGGCTAGGTGAGGTTGAGGGTTGCTTGATTGTTGTAGGGTAAGTGCAGCAACTTGGTGAGGTTGAGAGGTGCTCGGTTGAGGTTCATTCAATTGAGCCAGGGTGTTCTTATGTCCCAAGGGTTGGGGTTGTTGAATCAAATAGGTTTGAGGTCCTAGTTTATGAAGTTATTGAGCTGTCATCTACATCCCTCAATGAGGTGTATGAAGTATTGCTTGTCAGTGGAATGACTCGTGTCCCCAAGGTGCAAGAAATTGTTTCTGAAATTTTTGCAAGTCTTCAAGTAAAGGGGTTAATCCTGATGAGGTGGTTGCAATGGGAGCTGCTATTCAGGGTGGTATCCTTCGAGGTGATGTTAAAGAGCTGCTTCTTTTGGATGTAACTCCTGTCACTTGGTACACTAGGTTGATCAATAGAAATACAACTATTCCTACAAAAAAATCACAGGTCAGTATTATGATACATTGGTAGTGTTTATAAGGTGAATATGTTGTTTCGAATGAATCTTTTGCCATCTTGTGTAGGTAAGAGTTATTGCTGAATAACTTAGCCTTTTTTGCCAACTGGTGTCGGTGGGGAGTTTAAATTTTTAAGCATCATCTTTATGCAGGTTTTCTCTACAGCAACAGACAACCAAACTCAGGTTGGAATGAAAGTTCTTCAAGGTGAACGTCACATGGCTGCTGACAATAAGATTTTGGGTGAGTTTGATCTTGTTGGCATCCCACCTGCACCTAGAGGCTTGCCCCAGATTGAAGTCACATTCGACATAGACGCCAATGGAATTGTAACTGTTTCTGCTAAGGATAAGGCAACTGGGAAAGAGCAGCAGATCAAATCCGATCATGCGGTAGTCTTTCGGAAGATGAGATTGAGAAGATGGTGAAGGAGGCTGAATTGCATGCTCAGAGAGATGAAGAGAAAAGGAATTTGATTGACTTGAGAAATAGTGTGGATACTAGCATATACAATATTGAGAAAAGCTTGAATGAGTACAGAGACAAGATTCCTAACGAGATTGCATCAGAGATAGAGTCTGCTGTGGCAGATTTGAGGAAGGCAATGGCTGGGGAAAATGTAGATGAGATCAAGGTCAAGTTGGATGTTGCAAATAAGGCTCTTTCAAAGATAGGTGAGCACATGAGTAAGGGTTCAAGTTCAGGTTCAGGCTCTGGTTCCGCTGATGGTTCTTCCGAAGGTGCCTCGGGTGACGATCAGACCCCCAGAAGCAGAATATCAGGAGGCCAGGAAACAAAAACTCGAATAAAATACGCATAACACATTATATTCTTACAATTATTACTTTTATCACGATTTTGAAAATGGAAGTTACCAAGTACAAGGATGCTATTACTTTTAGCGATTGCAATTGTTGAAGAGTACCCTTTTTTATTGTGTTGATTTGATTCGTTTGAGATGTCATTTGTCTCTCATTTTCTCCCCTTCAAACCCAAACAGCAGAAAGCTGAATTTGTACCCGTAAGTTGATCATACGATATAAATACAATAGGAACAAAATCAGCAATGCTTCTCCTTTTAAGGGA